AGCTGTGAAAACATTGGCAAGGTCTATGTCCGTTCCCGACGAAGATTCTTGGGCAAGATTGAAACGGCTGGGCAGATACCTGCTAGGCAAACCTAGAGTTGTGCAAGAGTTCAAACCGCAACGGATGTACACCAAGATCCGAGCTTTCACAGACAGTGACCATGCTGGATGCGTTCGCGCAAGAAAGTCCACCACCGGACTGGTCCTGATGTGTGGACAGCATACCTTGAAGTCTTCATCAACTCTGCAAACGACGATATCGTTGTCTTCGGGCGAATCGGAGTATTACGCCATCGTTAAAGCAACGGCATCAGTGCTCGGGATACGAGAATTGTTCCGAGAATGGGGAGTTGAGTTGGACTGCATGGTCCTTTCAGACTCCAGCGCAGCCAGAGGAATGTGCAGTCGACGCGGGCTAGGCAAAACAAGGCATGTACAGACCCGCTACTTGTGTGTTCAGCAAAAGCTCAAAGAGAAAGAGTTCGAGTTGGTCGCAGTGGGCACCGACAAGAACGTTGCCGACTTGTGCACCAAGCCTTTGAGCACGGAGACCTGTTGGAAGCACATGCATGCCTTAGGCCAGTACGCAAAGACCGGCAAGAGCTCGGCTGCAAAAGCCGTGGAGTGAAGATTCATCTGCAAAGCAGAAGAATCTTAGGAGGGGTGTTTGGATGTAGGGTATGTACATACTATACACGTACCCCGACTTTTGGCTCAAGGGAAATAAGCGCGAGCGGCCGAGCTTTGAGCGTCCATATACATTTTCATTTCCCTTTGCCATTCGTGAAGACAGACACTCCTGTAGCAAATCCAAAGTGTGTTTGGTGAGGAATAAAGCCCAATCCAATCCTACGCTACTAGGGGCTCCTGGCATCGCTACTGGGAGCAAGAAGCTACTAGTAACAAGGGCATCGCTACTAGGAGCAAGGACGCTACTAGGGGCTCCAATCCTTTGCCTCTTTCGCTCTCCCTATCGATCGATCGCACTTTTGGGCTGAGGTTCATGGTGGTGTACACAGAGTCAGAGCTCATAGAACAGAGCCATGGCGGTCTGTGTGGAGTAATGTGGGTTTAGACCCACAAACAATGCGCATCAACGTGCTGTTAGTGTGGGGTGCATAGTTATGGCAAGGCCCTCTTCCATTGTCCCTTGAAGGTTGCCTTGTACAGTAGTCCGCGCAGGAATCATTCAAAGAGTTCGATGGAGAGAGAGAGAGAGCTGCCTGATGGAGAACTTGCACTCACTTCGGTCTTTTCAATCGTCGTTGTGGTGGTTTTGCCAAGGACCACGCCAGTATCCCTTACAATTGTAGCCTCTCGGCAGCTTTCTCTCAGACTCGAACACGTGCACCGGTAGCAGTAGTAGGTAGTAGCACTAGCAAGTATAGTATTATGCATTACGTACATATGTAATCCATTGTATATAATTCTACATATAGCATTATATAGCTCATTCAATGACCATCAAGGTTAGGACATTGCCTGTATAGAAACGTGTTTCGTGTGAGATTAGTTGACAAAACATTTGACGAATAAGTGCTCGCCAGGTGTTAGGTCGGTAGACTCAATAACATCTCTCAAGACTAATGTTTGGTGGTTTGTAGTAACAGTAGTCCCGAAGCAGCCTGTGTCTGTGTGTTGCAAATCCGAGTTTCTTGCGTCCTGCTTTCCTGAACCTTCCTTACCTAGGACCACATCGCATCTGTAGAGAATATCACTTTCCCAGACTTCGACTTAGATCAAGGCAGGCCTTCCACTTTGCCTGTGATGTGTTCAGTTTGTGCCAAGTGGAGCTGACAAATTTGCAATCATCTCTTGGAAAGTGTGAGGGTTAAGGTTCGCTGAGAAGGACTGCACGCCAAATCTACAACTGTCTTTGATCCATGTGAATGGTTCCGGATGATCGATTAGATCAGTGGCCCACCCACATCTGTGTAGGTGACCTTGGTGGCGAAGTTTCTTGGGATGCTCCAAAGGAGACCGTAGTTGAGAGCATGTGGCATGTAAGATGCAGTGCACAGGTGAGCCACATGGCTGGAAAATAGAATTACGCGATAGGTTGGTTGAGAGTAGTGCACACCCACAATCTCACGCAACACGGTCACTCACAGTCAAAATATGTCTAAAGAGTACAGCCGGCCTCTTTATTGGATGATATTGCATGTTTGTGTGACATTGTCTAGTTGGACACTTGTAGATCTCAACCTATCTCACCAGGACGACCGTTTCGTGGTGTCCTACCACATCTATTTCGCGAAGGTGATCCCCATCGACCAGAATGGAGAGTGCAACTACGAGGTGCGATGTTAAGCAAAACGTGTGGCCCACCTGGTTGGTGTTTTCTTACCAAGAAGACACGTCCAGGATTTGACAGGTGATTGTTGCTTCATTTACAAGATGCACCTGGAGATTGCCAAGACTTAGGATTGTTGTTGAGAATTCCTTTAGGCTAGATGTGTGAGCCCAGAGATGCCTGACACTTTGGCATTTGGATTGTTGAGAATCAGGTCTTTGCACCCTATGCCGAAGCGCTGTCTCAGTTGATGCTTGGCCGCTTTTAAGTCCTGTGGGTGGACCAACCATGAAAAGTGTCCTTGCTTGTGTTGTTTTCGACCTTGTTGGGCAGCACAACGGCGCATTCTGCGCGGCCAATAGGCTATGTCAATGCCAATGAATCACCAGACTCTGCCAAGTTGAATCAGGTTTGACTGCGCCTCTAAGGAGGGGAGATGTTCCTAATAGCTTCTTGCTCCTAGTAGCGATGCCAGGAGCCCCTAGTAGCTTCTTGTTCCTAGTAGTAAGGCCAGGAGCCCCTAGTAGCGTCCTTGTTGTTTGACTGCGCCTCTAAGGAGGGGAGATGACTCAGATAATTCCGGACAGGACTTTGAAGACACGTCTCCCGCCACCAATGGCAGCCTGGCATGGTGCAGGCGCGGGAGCAAGGCTGCATGTGGTCACATGATCCGTGGCATAGATAGTCTAGACCAAAGGGGAACAACTGAAGTAGACTTGCAAGTACTTTGTGCTTATTTCACTGGCTGTGGCAAGGTTCAGCTATCGCTTGGTGGATGATTTGAACATCACTGTGCCTGTTGAAACGAAGTTGCAGGACTTCACTCATTTCGTGACCTGGATAGGACTTGTCCAGAAAAGGCACAACACGTGTTATACAGTACCTTTCCGAGTTTGGGATTTTTTGACATATGGGCCATATGGTCATATGGGATAAAACAGGACTGCTTCAGTCCAGTGAGGGTTAAGAACGCTTTCCAGTGTGGAGCTTCTTTGAATGACTTGATGTTTATACCATGCCGGGTCGGTTTGGGTCCGTTGAGGGCGGACATGTTGCTGTTTGAGGTGATCTCTACCGTTTCGTTGCTGGTGGAGCAGTCAACTCCTGCAGAGCACTTGATTTTCGACGCCACTGCAACGGTTGGCGGACGCTTGGCAATCACGTTCTGAACATGTTGTGTAATTTTGATGCCCCAGGACCAACAAACAAAAGCTGTGACGCACATTCAGGGCTGTGTTTGAGTTATATTATATATATATATAATATACTCAGGAATTGGCTTCATCGATGACGAACCTTGGCTCTTTGAGATTCCAGATCCTCTAGCTTGGCGTTTTCATTGTTTCGATCTTGCTGGAGGGATTGGCCACATTCAGATGCCACGTAACTTCCTGCAGTACCACGCACGACCACATGGTGCATCAATATGATGCTTGCGTAGAGCCGCTTCTGGTATTTTCTTGTGGTATTCACATTAGCCATCAAGAGCCCAAAGAGTGACATCCCGAGCAATCTCCGCCACCAGGACCTGGATCCCTTCGAGTTCGGCGGAAACGTCACCTGGTTGGAGCCACCGGATGCCAGCCGAGTACAGGAGCGGTTCAGTTCAGCCAGCCAAGTCTCTTTCTGTGCAGTACTGCCCGTAGTTGCGGCATCGTCGCACCCCACTGTGGCTGGGCTTTCTGTGTGCTTCAAAGGGCTTGGTTTCACCAAAAAGGCGCTTGAAAGATAGCTGTGTCTTGCCGTGCTTGCTGTGTCGTTTAAGGGCTTGGTTTGCTCAGTTGTGCTAGGACTACCTGCTGTACTTTTCATGGGATCCCCTCGGCAACAATCGCAGCAGGGTCGGTGACATCGTGCCAGTAGGCAGGGCAACTAGAGTTTGCCTTGGTTTTTTATTTTGCATCAATGGCTCATGTGTTTGAATCCTGAAGAGCCATGACACGGTGAAGCATGAACCATATACTGTATATTGATATGGAATATGAAATAATATGAATATTGACTTTACCAGTTGGATGCTATGCTTCTTGGCGGATTCTGACATTGCATTGACTTAGCAGACTCAGGAAGTCACTTTCAGCCCTGTCAATGACATTGCCGCATTGTCGGGTTGCCGGTAGATTGGGCGTTTTGCGGCATTTGCCAGGTACGGATCGGATTCTGTTGCCTGCAGAGATCGCTCAGGGGCCACATGAGTACTTGGTGTGACTTGGCATCGCTCGAAGTCCTGTCGTCGATGAATCACTTAGCAATCTTACTCCCTACAATCGCTACCTTCATTTTCTTTGACTGGGGCAAAGCGGCCAACAGGGGTTGTCCTAGCGAAGTCATTTTTGCTAAAGCTTGCCAGTCTCCGGAAACCATTAAGATGTTTGTCTTCCTCTCTCTTCCTCACCAAAAGAGCTTGATGTGAATCAGGAAGCCACATCATTTGGGACTGTCTCAGCATGGAGACTTGTTCTATCAATGTGAGGCAAAGGCGTTTGGCCGCGATTCACATCTGAGGATCTACACTCGATCTTTCCTCGTGGAACAGACCACTCCCGCCTACTTTGCCCTCTCAGATACACGATCCATCCCTTCGGACATTGCCGGGGTCTCAGATAGGTACAGATTTACAGGAATCGCTTTGATCGTGTTGGCGTTTGCAGGAAGCCTGACTTGGGTCGAATGTCCATCAGTGACATTGTGAGTCAGACAGGTGTTGATGGATTTGGATTTGGACTACTCTGAGTTGGGCGGAAATATCTCCTGGGTCTCACCTTTGGAGTCGGCGCAGGCGCGGGAAACGAGTTTCGTCGGTGTCCACAGATCTTTAGAACCCATGCTCAGCAGCCGCGGTCTTGGCCAAGGTGATGTCTTCCACTAAGGAAGCAACATCAAAAACATTGTAAAACTGTTTCTTGCGTGGGGGATTTGCGCGGGGGATTGCAGGGCTTAGTTCAGCTTTACCCAAACAGGGACCCTGCCCATGGAAGTCTTGAAGCCTGCAACACTTCGACATCCTTTGAATCACGTCCTGTGTCGCTTGAAAGTCAGCTTGAAAGTCATGGTTGCCTGGCTATGCAAGCTTAAATGGTCGTAGCAAGTGTTTGAGGTCACTGAGTATTACATCTACTTGGGCGACAGTCCGGAGCCTGCCAAGATGCTGGGAGAAAATGGTAGCTTCCCATGGTCAGGAGCCGCTCTGAAATTCATGAGCCACCGTGCTTGTTGGAAGTCTTTGTCGAAAAATCTGCTTGAACACATCATTGCTTCTCCATAACTGGTTCCGGAAGATTTGGCAGGAAGCTGTCTTGGACCCGTATGGACATGTGGTTTCAACAAATTGGGGACATTCTTGTGCTACTTGCAACTAGTAGTAATGGCCTCCAACCTAATAGCGATGGCCTCCACCCTAGTAGCTTTGGGCTTTTGTGTCAGCTTTGTTCAGGACGTTCTCAACTGGGTGTTGTGCCATTCTTCGATACTGAGCTCTTTGTGCCGCCAGAGACGCTTCGGCGAGGCTACGGCTATGTGTCAAGTCTGCAGTATTCACATAGGTTTGGAAGGAGGAGCGTGCAGCTGAAGGGTATGTCGGGTAATTGGATAAGGGGCCACGGGGAATTTCGAATGGATTATATGTTTTGTTTGCCAGATTAAACATCAGCGCCTCACTGAAGGTTCTGGTGTATGCCTCTTCAAGCTTGGCAGAGCCCCGCGGACTCAGTGAGTTGCTGTAGTCTAGGTAAGCAAGTGTTCCTGCTTAACCTGGTCAAGCCAAGTTTTTCTTGGTTACTAGATCATACATATTCATACTATGTTTCAATATTGTGTGTGTTTTCCTTGGCTTGTCGCTCTTAGTTCATTCAAGACCTTTAGCCAATGACATGATAGAATATGGTAGAATAAGCTTTGCTGCCTAGCATGATTTGTTGGCTGCTTGTTTCAGGCAGACCACCCCAGCCGCCCACATCATTTACGATGCAAATGCCAGCGTGTCAAATGTGAACTTCGTTGGGAAAGATCTGGATTTGGAGGAGCCAACAGTTTCACTATTGAAAATATATTGTAGCGTCCTTGTTCCTAGTAGCTACTTGCTCCTAGTAGTACGGCCAGGAGCCCCTAGTAGCGTCCTTGCTCCTAGTAGCGATGCCAGGAGCCCCTAGTGGCGTTCTTGTTCCTAGTCACGATAAATTAGGTGTAGGAAAAGCATAGGACGAAAATATATTGGATTTAACATGGAAAGAAATTGTACATCTATTTTCGTTTGGTGTGTTTTATATGTTCAATACAATATAATTACATAGACATGTGTAAATTCCAAAAATGTAAAAAGCAGGAACACACAGGGGAAACATAGAAACACAATTGTGGATTCCTTTCTCTATGTTGGACTCTATTATATTACATTGTGATGTCATGTCCGATTTTCTTTGTTGCTTTCCCAATTTGTTGCAGTTATTGCATTTTGCCAGTCCTATGTTCCAGGAAATTTAATTGGTTACATAACTCTAACCCTCAGTCAAATACTTTGTAGGTGAGGGTACAGCGGCACCCTCAGTGGCCACATGTTCTGCGAAGTGTTTGTTGGGCAGAGGAAGAAACTCACGCGATTCACATCCAAAGATGTCCAGGACCTGGGTGGTTATGTCTCTTGGGTTGAGCCTGCCAGCGATTTGGATCGCGCCTCTCGGCATGCTCCAGAAAATTGCCGCGACTAACTATGGTCATGCGATCTCGTTGGAAATAACTACAAGTGCAGCCTATCCATTTTGTCGTGATTCGGCAGTTACTAGGACACTACTGTAGCATGACAACCCCCCAGAGATGTCTCTCAGTGACCTCCATGGCGTCAAGTCGTTCTGAGGTCATGGCCTACTCAGTCTACCTTTCGCTGGATGATATTGGCACCGGCCGCTCCAAAGTCGAGCAGGTGTGGCCCGTGGGGCCAGGGCAAGTTGGCACTGTAAAACATATTAAAAAATGTAAAACACGGTAAAGCTACGAATACATAGGAGCAAGAACGCTACTAGTTACTAGGGGCTCATGGCCTTACTACTAGGAACAAGAAGCTACTAGTTACTAGAGGCTCCTGGCCGTACTACTAGGAGCAGGGACGCATAGGAACTGATGCTCAAAAAAGCTCAAAAACTCGTTGTTTCACAACTGCCAGCAACACAACAACAGCTGGTTGAAAGATGCAACACTAGGTCTCACGGAGAGGATGTGGTGAAAATTCGATGTGTCACATCCCTTGTTACTAGCAGCTTCTAGCTACTAGTAGTAATGCCTTTGTTACTAGCAGCCATGCCAGGAGCTACTAGTAGCTTCTTGCTACGTTCGTAGCGATGCACCTGTTATTCATTAGATGTGTGCCAGGATGTCCTCGTGGGCTCCAATGAACTTCTCGTGCCACCGGAGACGCCACGGCAGAGCTTCACCCGCTTCGTGGTCTACACCAGGCGACAAGCATTGGGCGACAAGCACCGGCAGCACCTGCGGGTTCTTTGTTCTGTTTGTTTCAGTTGAGGAGCTTCTTAAGGACATCCAAAGACCATCGAAGGCTTGATGGCTTCTTAAGATGTTCCATTTTAGTTCCATTGAACGTGTTTTTTTGCTGCTGGACTTGGAAGGTCCACCCTTGTGGAGCAGAGCACTCCAACAGCTCATCTCTTATTTGACACCACAGCCATGCCACAAAACCTGGACTTCCTGGACATCGATGTGGACCGCGGAGAGATGGGCGGAAACCTCACATGGATGGCACCTACAGACCCCACTCATGTGACTTGGAATGCTTTTGGTGCTGGCTACGCCGCTACGCCCATGCTAAGCCTACAGTGTGCCTGCAGTGTGCCTGCAGTGTGCATCAGCTCATTAACCAAACGTTAGAAGATATGGCATGTGTGAATCCATATCCTGACCTTACCCTTGCACTTAGGTGACAGAGTATGTCCTCTATTTGGGAGAGAACGCCCATGGCTCCTTTTCGTAAATCATGATCTCAAACCTTTACAGGGTTTGGGCAGGTCATTCTCGGCGAGATTGGCTTCATGGCGGGGCTGATGCCACTGTTTCAAAAAGCTTCCAGTTCAAAGTCCACAAACGCTGCTTTCAAGTGAATGGAGCGTAAAGTTGAATTGAACCACCCGTTTTGCGACGAACAGTTAGTTCCGCCAATTGGTGCCCGAGGCGGTGCCTCATCTTGTTGAGTACTTGTTGAGTACTACGTACTACTAGCGATCCTCCAACCTAAGACTTGAGTCATGGCCTCCAACCTACTAGCGAAGGCCTCCAACCTAATGTGCAGCAGCTACTGTACAGTTACATGTGTCACTGCATGTTAGGTTTGGACCGTTCAATCTTGGGCAATGTCTCGTGGGATACCTTTGAGTTTCTTGGCAAAAAAGATGTGCTCGGCCAGTGCTGGGTCATTTGGGGCTTTCGGAGTGGAAGCGTTCGCCATCAATGACTCAAATCTTAGTGGTACTGGTAGATGTCATAGTGGATTTCCGATCTCCATGCAGATAACCACACTCTTCAAGGAAGGATGACCACAACAGAAGGCACATCACCAGCTCTTGGACAACTTCCAAGTGTCGCTGACGGTCGCATAGCGTCGACGTCTCAAAGGTGAACATCAACAGCGCTCACGAAGCGCTAAGGACACAGACATGCTCACGGGAGCCAAGGTTCTTCGTTCCGCTCAACACCTTGATTCTGAACTTTACTCACTTGTTGGTGCAACTTGACTTCAAATCTAAATATTTGAGGGGATTTTAAAGGTATCCGGTATTGGAATGCAACATACCATAGAATGAACATGTGAAACTTCCTCCTGATTGGCTTCAGGTATTCCAAGTCAGATTTGGCTGAAATGACCACACCTGCAGCTTTGCTGATTCGAGATTCCATTGCGGAAGTGGACAACATCACTCTCTTCGATAGGGAGCGGTGACCTTGGGAAAGGGGTTAAGGCTTGTGTTATGTAAGGGCTGGAAGAGTAGGCTCCCCCTGAATCATGTTAATTGTTGCGTAGGTTATTGTGAACATGTTCACACTTGGACGCTGAAGGAGAACATGCAATGACCACGAAATGGCTTCAATGCCCCCCATATAGCTAGGGTGGCTAGCTGCTCACAGTTGTCATGTGTATAGCTGGGACATTCGCAAGAATGAGGAAGACAACCAACATGAGATTCTCTTTGCAGCTTTCCAACCTCTGGGGAAGACAAGTGCGAGTTTCCACAGGACTTGGACGAGAATGAAGTTGGAGGTGAAATCACCTGGGACCCTCCAACGGAAGAGCGCATCGTTGACAAGTGCCCCATGGCCGGTAGCTGGTAGCCACTAGCTCAGACAGGCTTAGCTTGGGGGAGATCCATGGCCACTGGTGAAGAATCTCCCTTGCTTGCTGATATTTTTTGACAGGTACCGGGTGTTCTTCCAGATTGACGCAGCAGGAACTGTTAAGAGCCAGGTGGATACCGACAAGCCGCGAGGACACCGTACCAAAAACACCAAAGCCCCAAAGCACACAACAATGATTGAAACTTGCACTAACGGATCACCTTGTCCTGAGTTTGGCAGTGACGTGTCGTGTGTGTGTGTGTGTGTGCCCCTTGTAGTCACAGGGATCCTTTCGGATTGTGTTTTTCTTTTTTTCAGCAGGGGGCCAGGACTCCCTGGCGCGCGTCCTGGCCAACGAAGACCGCGCGCCAGGGAGGTGAAAACGTACCTGCTATTGTTAAACTGTTGATTGGTTGCTGTGGTCCCTTGGTTTGTTTCATGGTGGTTCATGTACCTGATGTTGTTCCAGGAGGTGTTTAGGTTTTCAGGTACTTCATAAAGGGCTAATGCACGCTTCGCCGTCATCCTGTCGCTGGTTCGTTTTCGTTCTGAGCTTTTGGAGATCTTTAACTTACCTGTAAAGGGCTAATGCACGTCTCGCCGTCATCCTGTCGCTCGTCCGTTTTTCGTTTTGAGCTCTGGAGATCTTTAACTTACCTGAACATGGAGATGAGTCACAGTCCTGCACGCACGTCGTCAACCTGTCGCGTGATTGTCAATGCTATTGGTTTGGTCTACCTGTACCCTTAGGAAATGGTAACCTAGGCCGGCGTGTGGCACCGCTGTCAAGTCAGTACGCATTTCCATAAGTGTGTTTGGCCTCGTGCCAACCCGGGATGAGCCCGTAGAGTGCCTCCCGTGGACCCGTCGAACGGGGGTTTGTCGTTATCTCCCCTGCCCGGAGATGTAAGTGTCCGTAGCGGACAGCAGATGGCTTATGCCACAAGAAGTGGGATGTTTGTCTCATCTTTGGAATTCCAAGCTGGCTTATGCCTTTACGTGACCGCAGCGGTCAAAGGTGGCAGCCTTCGGGCAAGCCGTACGTGGTCACAGCGACCGAAGTTTGTTCAAGGTTCATTGGAACCTGTCGCGAGCTTAGTCCCCCGTCCTTCCCCTTCCCTCCCCTTTCTTTCCTTGCTTTTTGGGGTTTTCCTGAATGGAAGACTCAGGATCATCCCTTTCTTTCTTTGGTGTGTCCCTGGACGATTTTTCGTAGCTGGGAACACCTGCCTTTTACTTTTCTCTCCTCTCCCTTTCTCTCCCTTTCTCTCCCTCTCTCTTTCTTTCTTTCTCTCTTTCCTCTCCACCTTCCTTCCTCCTTGGGTGTCCCTGGATGCTTTTGTCATAGCTGGGAACCCATCTCCGCTCTTCCTTTGGTGTGTCCTTGGACGCTTGCGTCGTAGCTGGGAACACCTTCCTTCCTTCTCTTTCCTTTTTCTCGTCTCTCCCTACCCCTCCCTCCTGTCGGGACCTTAGCTTGGGTTGCTACTAGGGGCTCCTGGCCTTCCTACTAGGTGCTAGGACGCTACTTTGACGCTACTAGAGGTTCCCGGCCTTGCTACTATTTTGTCCGCACTTGCGATACGCCTCCCCTCGGGGAGGCGTGTGTGTGTGCCCCTTGTAGTCATTTTTTCAGCAGGGGGCCAGGACTCCCTGGCGCGCGTCCTGGCCAACGAAGGCCGCGCGCCAGGGAGGTGAAAACGTACCTGCTATTGTTAAACTGTTGATTGGTTGCTGTGGTCCCTTGGTTTGTTTCATGGTGGTTCATGTACCTGATGTTGTTCCAGGAGGTGTTTAGGTTTTCAGGTACTTCATAAAGGGCTAATGCACGTTTCGCCGTCATCCTGTCGCTGGTTCGTTTTCGTTCTGAGCTTTTGGAGATCTTTAACTTACCTGTAAAGGGCTAATGCACGTCTCGCCGTCATCCTGTCGCTCGTCTGTTTTTCGTTTTGAGCTCTGGAGATCTTTAACTTACCTGAACCTGGAGATGAGTCACAGTCCTGCACGCACGTCGTCAACCTGTCGCGTGATTGTCAATGCTATTGGTTTGGTCTACCTGTACCCTTAGGAAATGGTAACCTAGGCCGGCGTGTGGCACCGCTGTCAAGTCAGTACGCATTTCCATAAGTGTGTCTTTTTTTGGAAAGCAAGAACGCTGCTATGTTCATCTGAGATCTTAAACTGATGGACTTCTCACTACTTCTCTCAATGAGGCTAGTATGATTTGAAAAAGATGAAACAAGTCAAGAAGATCCTTCTTGTGTTTTTTTATTTAAATTCACGCAGTGGTGGCAGTGGCCTCCAGGAGACCTGGCAGTAGCATTCCCCGGCGACACGGATGCGTGGAGCTCAACCGGACGACTCGATCCAAGTGCATCGAAAGCCAATCCTTCAGACTCCAGACGATCCATGGGAATCCGAATGAACGAAGCATGGACAAACTTGTGACAACTTGTCCTACTAGGAACAATGTTCGCTACTAGGCGCTCCTGGCATCGCTACTAGGAGCAAGGACGCTACTAGAAGCTGGAGCAATGGACGCTACTAGGGGCTCTGACACAACTTCGTTTTGCTCAGATGTTGTGACGAGTCGGAACGGCGGACGATTTCAAGGATTGAAACTACTGTCACTGTCACTTTCAGACATGAAGATACATGAAGTTCATACATTTTATCGTTGATGCAAAACAAACTTCAAGACCTTCGGCTTTGCTGAGATCACTGGGATGACTTGGATTGGCGTTTGGATCACTGCCTTCGGTGTGGAGCAGCAAACACCCTCGGTCACACAGGTCGTGGATACGCTACTTGGCATCGCTGACTTTGGTTGCTCAAACGGTGTAATTAATTACAAAACATTACAAAGTCAGAACAAACGAAGTGAAATGATCCAACTTCAAAGTTTGCTTTGTGAGGTAGGAAAGTTTGGCATGAAGTGTGTTGAAGGGAATTGTGGTGTACTGCCTTCCCAGTGGACCGATTCATAGCTCATGGGCGAGGGCCTCGAACCTGCTAGCCATGGCCTCCAACCTACTAGCGATGACCTCCAACCTACTACCAATTGCCTCCAATCTGCAGTTGTATAACTCGTTGCGAGGGACTCAAAATAGATTCCACCACACCGAGGCATCCCACATCCACAGTGAACGATCGCCTGTAACATTGTCCAATGGTACCAAGACGGCTGTAAGGTCGCAAAATATGTCTCAAAAAGTGCAGAGGTATGCTATGCAGATTGTGGGAACCAAGCGATCCGCCTGGGAGCGATCAGGATCTCATCCGTGGGCTTTGTGAAGTTTGCTGACGAAGACCTTGATGCACTGCAGTTAGCTGGCACCATTTCTTGGGGACCCCCAGCGGAGATCACCTATAACCAGGTCGGTCGCGGCATGTCACGTTCGAGCGTTGTAAAGAAATCAACTGTTGGGATGGAGAAGACATGGGAATTGAAAGTCAAAGAAAGACACAAAAGCTGCGTCTCAGGCAGGCTTTACCATTTCCTTGCAACTAGGGAGCTGAAGGTGTCCAGCAAGAAGTGTTCTTGCAAACGGCATTGGTTGCACAATGTTTGCCAGGACTATGTGATCTACTTTGCCCAAAGTGAAACTGGTACAGCGCGATCGCTGGTAGGCAGGAGTTGATTATCATGCCGATTCTTTGGTAGCTGCAATGTGGTAGAGAAGACTTGCAAGGACCTGACTTTATTTCCTACATTGGCTCCTCCCCCGCTCCTAAACTTCTTGTTTGGCTTCTATTATGTGTCAGGCGTGGTCCCATTGGGCACCAACTCATTGGCAGTCCCCTTGGACACCTACTTCAGTCAATTCACCCACTTCGTGGTCTACACCCGCTCCATTGCCTATGAGCAGAGCACACCCTTAGGCTTGCGACTTGAATTTCCCGGCATCATGAGTGACAAATGCGCTGAAGCATGTAAATATGCCTCGACCAAGTGTAATGCACTATCATGTACAACTGATCATGCATGTAGTATCAAACCGCAAGTCATTCAAAGACATCGGTTCGCATCATATCTCAGTGATACCGAATACCGATTCAATCAATGTTGAAAAGTCCAGGTAGGATGCTGCATGCTTTCAACTTTTAGTGATCAGGCCACGGCCTCGTGTTTTAGAATCCTTTAGATCCATGCGAGGTGTGCAACTCTATGATCACAATGGCTTGGTTCAGAACCTAGCCTTCAGCCACTTGAAGGCAACTGGATCCTTTGTGGCTGGGAGCTTCAGATCAGCGGTTGATTTCATGCAAGGTTCGATCCTTTTGTAGTGCCCGAGCGGATATTTTACATATCATATCATAATCCTTTTATACGTGAGTCAAGGGCTTTTTCATGTACCCTTTAAGGTGACAATGATTTGGACGAGAACATGCTCGGAGGCCACTGCATGAGAACCAGTAGAAACGTGCTTACTGTGCAATCGGAGGCTTGTTCAAACAGTGCTTTTGCTCAAACTTGTGCAGTTGATCGGCATGACAGGGCTTCTTCAATGGACCTTGCCTGCTGACACCTCTGCAGTGCAGCAGTACAACATCTACTTTACGCGACTCTGTTTGCAGTGCCAGTTTTCTTACCGACTTCAGCGTACTTGCTCATGCTCACTGGCTACCTCACCAGATTGATTCAGCAAACGCATTGTGGTTGCTTCCAAGAGGCTTCACATTTGTTTGTTGAATCGACTTCAAAAGTTGGGCAAAGAATATCAGCAAAGAGGCATACATTATCATACATTTAGATATTATACGCACCTCTTTCTACTAGGCTCTTGCACAACTTATGTTTCAATTCAGTGTGAAGGCAGCGAACCCCCAAGCAATGACTCCCTATTGTTGGGTCTCCCTGTTCCCATTGACAAACCATACCCGGAGAGTGTCTTCATTGTGTTTCGGACTCGACTGAGGTTCACGGCTGATCAGTTTGATCCGCTCTTCCGTCGAGACATTGTGGCCCTGGGGCTCTCTCCCAGCGCCACCCACCAAATGTTGCCTTTGGGCACGCCGGGAGACCTGGACTCGGAAACGCGCAACGGAAGTGGTCACGGTGCGACAGGCTTTTTTCCTTACTACTTCAAGTAAGAGGCCTCGGTGATCTCAATAGAGCACTGTGTAGAATCCTCATTTGAACGTTGTTGGTTTGGCGCCCCTGTGTGATGCTACGCTAACAGCGATGCCTAGGTCCAAGATCAGTGCTGATGGCTTGGAAGAGGTCTCATGCAATCTCACGGCGGCAGATGCCGTGTTTTGGCCATTTTGGAGTCAACACATTCGGATGTGTTTGCTTTGTGTTTCAGTGGGCATGCTGTTGCGTTGTTTGGCTTTGTCCATTTCACTGTGCCGGCCGACTGGTCGGAGACTGACCGTCATTGCGATGAGGTACTGAGCGTGTTTTACAATGGCAGTGACCTCTCCAACTATGTCACAGGAACATTCTCTGATCCTTGGCTGGTTTTGACAAAACCGAAGTTTGATGACGGACATTTCATCCTGTTTCCAAGAAACTTGATTGTTTCGCTGCTGGCATAGGCATTGACAAGTTTTACGCCCAGATAGGTTCCGGAAAGTTGTCCGCCTTCACTTCAATGAAGCACAGTTGTTGTGAGCATCGCGATGAGGAATGGTCTAACACCAAGAAGTTCAGCTTCCTAAAGGCCTTGCTGTGACCGGAGAGTACTGAGAACATGTTGAATTCATTCACCTGAACTTGAGTGCCTTTTTTCAGCAAGCGGGCGCAAGTTCCAAAGAAGCAAGGACGTTAGTAGGGGCTCCTGGCCGTACTACTAGGAGCAAGTATATAGCTACTAGCAACTAGAAGCTACTAGGGGCTCCTGGCATCTCTGCTAGGAGCAAGGACGCTACTAGGGGCTCCTGGCCGTACTTAGTGCAGCTCCAATGCACAGGTGCCTGGCGCTTATTTGGTCATCTCTGCCAGTAGCATGTTGACGGCCGGTGGGCAACTCAGACTTCAACTATCTTCAACTTGCCTGAGTTCCTTGTCAATGGACAGAGGAGTCAAGGGATGTCCCATGCATCACATCTATATATTATATATATATATATATTGTCTACTGATGTAAATGTTGATGTTTGAGCAAAGATTAGATAGCTGGGCAGCCTGTAGATTCAACTGCGCTTCATTGCAGGGAGTTTGATGAGCGCCCCGTCGGTCCGTTGCTCTCGTCGCTCAGATTGGTGCTCTCCCACAGAGAACATTTGCGTCGCAGGGACCTTCAATCAAGGTCGCTGCAGCGGTGCTTCAACCGGCATCAGTGTTGGAAGACGGACCTAGGCGTGAAAGAACTAATACAGTACTATAACTATAATGTTGTATATATACCTTATATACCGTTTCTTCCTTTACAATGTGTGCTTGGGCGTGAAAAAAACAGTCTTGACAGTCTTGACTTTTGCGTGCCACCTGGCACATTGCAAACAGTTCCAACACATGGCAGGCTTGAACTATTGCTCTGTGGCGGGCTTCAGCCTTGAATGCTCCGATGGGGTCACTGCGGGTGACATTGGTTGGGAGGCGGAGACAGATGTAACGTCTACATGGAGTGTTAAAGTTGACATGCTGCATGGCAAGTGCATAAAGTCATTTAAAAAAATCCAAAAAAAGGGTCCAAACGAGCCTGCTGTAAAGAACATGTGAAAGGGCATAGTCCAGTTATATAGATCCAGTTAGCACATTCAGGCAAAGATATGGCTCACAGATATTTGGAATATATTTGCATAAAGAGTGGTTCAAACCCGCATGGCAAGTGCATAAAAGTCATAATAAAGTCCAAAAAAGGGGTCCAAACGAGCCTGCTGTAAAGAACAGGTGAAAGGGCATAGTCCAGTTAGATCCAGCTAGCACATCCAGGCAAAGACAAGGCTCACAGATATTTGGAATATAGTTGCATAAAGAGTGATTCAAAGCCTTGTCAATTGCTCACTCAAACATGTGAATCGGTTTGCCACTCGCGGCTGAAAGGCCTATGGCTCCAGCATAGATGTGGATTCTTTGCATCAGGTGTGGAGTGGCTGAGTGCGACGGTGCCGGCAATTGACCGTATTATGTAAAAGAGGACATGATTGCATGTGTATGCTATAATTAGATACACAATCACACATTGACTGTGTGAATTGAATGTGGTAGCTAAAATCCTAGACTTACCATCGAAGCCAGTGAAAGCTACTTTAAATTGTAAGGAACAGGGCTACGGACAAGGTCCATGGCCCAGAAGTATGTTTTGCTCAAGAAACGCCGTGGGAAACCAGAGGGATAGCAGATAGCAGAATGCTAGCTGCTAGCTCCTTCATTCTGACATGGCCATCATGGCCCACGACGGCAGTGATCCACATCCGGTTGATGACATGATGATGCAATAAAGAACAACTATGCCGCACTTCCGCGGCTTGAAGATATCTATAGCCACAACTCAAACAGCCAAATTACTTTGATGGATGACGCAGCACATATTGCTCTACTATGTTCCATTAATCTCAAGTCTATTTGACCGACTCTACAACTGTCTCGATCAATTCGAAGGCCGGCGGCGGCACTGGTTGGAGCACTACGTGTGCATCAGAGTCCAACTTCTACCTGTCCTGCCGCCATGATTTATGTCCATCATGCCGGATCCATCAACGACAAAAAGCATCATACCCGTCTTCGGCTCATGCACGGCCAGGATTGAGAACTCTCTCAGTGCCAAAATCTGGGCCTCTGCGGGTTTGCAGCACGCTGCATTCCGAAACTTGTCAAGAAACGGAGAAGTCACCGCCCGAAAGAACTTTGTACACCCTGTATTTGACGAGTTTGATGATTCCATTCTTTTAAAGCTCATTTGGCCTTTCACAGCACTTTGCTTGTGCTTGCTGTGTTTTAGAGTGGACCAGCAATGTGGATCAAAACAGCTTATATCAGCTTCAACTGTGGCGATCCTTCACTTCGCACTCAGGACTTCTCAGCGGTTCTTTGTCGCCCACTCGTTTTTTGCCTTGGCTAGAGCTTGACAAGAGATGTTGGTCCTTCGGTCCAGTTCATTGGAAGACCAGCCAAAAGCGTTGAGTCAAGGGTGCTCCCAGATGTCACAGGTGTCTTTTGATGGGAGTATTGGAATGTATTGTTTCAATTGCACAAGAGAGACCATGCTTTCCGCTGGAAATGTTGCCACATGCCACATGTTGCCGCTATAGGCAATGAAACCTACTCCCACTTTATGGTCTATGCAGAATCTACTTTGGCAGAGTCTGGCCCTGAGAGGGTGACAGCATCGAGATGCATCAAGGCACTTACAACAACCCAGAGAGTCCCAGGGGTATCTTTTGCACGTGCTTTGGTTGAAAACCTAAACTTTGCACCGGCCACGCTGACCACGCCCGACCACGTCCAACCAGCACTCACACTATATAATACCATCGCTAGTGTGCACGCTTTGATGACTTTGAGCTCAGCCTTTCAAAACAATCACCCTGATGTTATCATGTTCCATCATCACACATGTAGACAAGTACGTGCAATACGTAGAAGAAGCGTATGTACTCGCCACTTCATCGACAACATCCTGCCATGCAACAGCTGTGGGAACTGAAAGGCATCCAGAGTGGAACGACAGAAACTATTTTGTAAAGCAATCCCTGGGAATCGACTATTTGTTTCCAAACAATTTGCCAATGGATTGATCATCAGTGATATCCACACTTTTTTTCCGCGTGTATTAATGTTCTTTTTTTGATCAAAGCATGTCCACATGCTTGCTAAACTTGAGAGGGTAGGGACCACGGCAAAGTTTAGGATTACCACGGCAAAGAATAGGATGACCGCGCCAAAGTTTAGGATGACCACGCCGGAACCACGCTGGAACCACGCACCGCCATGACCCAATCTCATCAAATTCAACCCAGATCATTTCCCTTGGTCGTTTATCAAATTGGCATCAGTCAGGCCAGCATTGATTCCCCTTCCCTGAAAGGATTTCCAAGTCAGCTTGAGCATCACACAGGCGGCTGGCACAGAAACAGTCTTATTAAGGTCCAACACATGTCGAGAACAGGTATAGTGCATCCATGAACCATTTGTTTGTGTGGATGTGCTTTTTGAATACTGACCACGGGCCATCTCTAATTGTATCCCTCACAAGCAGGAAATATTTGCTTCGCTGAACGAAGTATGTCATAGATGATCTATTAACTATTTATCCTTCAGGATCGATGTGTGAACCATTTGGTGCCTCACTACCCTACATGCTCAGCCCCTGCGCATGGCAAAGTTCGGCCCTAGTTCAGTGTCTTTTGGCAAAGTTTGACCTTTTCCTAGGGGTATCCTTTGCATATACTTAGACTTACTGGGACAAAGCAGCTCAAGGCAAAGCAAGGCACGAAAGCCTTGAAAAGCCATGTAGACGTTCAATTCGTTTAGCATTTCTGGTCACGCTGGTCGGGTCGGATGGGATGCACAAAGGCAGACGACCCCTGCAGTCCTGCAGATTGTTGACAGTCCGTGGCCTCATGATTTGAAGTCAACGAAAGTAAGAGCCGCAAAGAACGAAAGCAAATTTACATGTTACATCATATTACCTCTCAATGCCGTGTTTGCTAGCAGAACAGAGTGAGAAGAGTCAACAAAGTCACATAGTCAGTCTTGAGGTTCAATTGATGTGGTTACGAAATTATATATATATATAATATATACCCAGAAAGTCCAATTAAGTCAGGATCACTACTGGGCACAGCATTGTTCACCGGGAGCTGTCTACCATACTGGTACTAAACAAATGATCAAGGAATCACTACCCACATGAAAAGAAACTCAAGTTTGGAAGTTTGGAAGGATCGGAAATCGCTCAGTTCCGGGTGTTGAGGCATTGCCTCAGTGGATTACATGCGGTTCGTGGACGAGGACGAAGACCAATGACATGCTGAAGCGGGGTTCATGCGATGAAGACTTGTGAACACAATCTGAGAATGTTGAAGGATTTGACAAAAATTGAAGTGTTGTTTTTGGTGTCTCTTTGAATAAAAAGTGTGGAGTCATACCTTGCTTTATGGAGATGTGCCAAGATTTATGCTTTCGCCCTTTCAGAGCCATGCTG